GTACTTTATTCACATTACTGTCACTAGGTAAACTACAGTAAAAGCCTAGACAAAGCCTAAGAAATGAAGCTTCAGGATGGAATGATTTAAGGGTCTATTCAGAATTCAAAATGTTTTCTATGTGCCATACCAATTCCATAGTCACCTTTGACTTTATAGAAGTAAATTGTGCATTAGATGCATTCCACAGTATGAAAACTCCAGCTTTAAGATTACTACTACTAAAAGTTTTAACTATTTACAGTGACACTGAATTATGATAATGCTACTTTTATTACATGTACCACTACATGTACCACTATTTCTATAGTGAATCCACTCTTCTCCACAGGGTTACCTTTTTTCTTTTTTGATTATGTTGGGGTACTCGTTTCGGAGTGGAATCCATTTGATTATTGTAAATACACAGGGGGGAATTTATCAAAACTGGAGGAGACAAAATCTGGAGCAGTTGCCCATTGCAACCAATCAGCATCTCTCTTCAGTTTGCTCAGGTAAGATTTAAAAATGAGACGGAGAAGCTGATTGCCGATTGCTTGCAGTGCAAATCTGTTCCAGATTTTGTCTGCTCCAGTTTTGATAAATTCCCTCCATAATGTTACAAAATATCTATTTATACCTGGCATGCCAATCCTTTACAGTCCTCTGTGGTTTAAGAATTTCATCTGAATGAGGTCCTAGCTTTTCTACTGTTGATAAAAGCTATACTATCAAATTATTTATGGCCCTTTTCCTTGAGATGAAATGTTGCTAATTGCAAAAAGTCCTATAATAATTTTGTGGAAGTAGGTGGGGCTGTCAGTAGGCATAATGAGGTTGATTTACTAAAGATAAATAGGCTGTTCACTTTGTGAATTTTCACTTTGCAAGAGAAATCTCTCTTAGTTCAGCGAATGAGGAGAAGCTCTGCTAAGTTCATCATCCAATGATGTGCAAGCACAAATACTGTTTTTCTATTTTTCTTGCACACGATTGGGTATTCTTTGCAATGTGAACTTTCACTGAATGCGTTAAGCTAAGGGAAATTCCATAGCAAAGTGAAAATTCCCTTGCAAAGTGTGGAACCGACTTGCCCTTAGTAAATCAATCCCAATGCAGACCATTGAGGATTTAACCACTCAACTGGAAACATTGCTTAATTTCAGTTTGACATGACTGACCTACCATTTATATGTTTTCTATATACAGTATGTTATGTGCATAAATCCTTCATTCCATTTTAAAACTGAAATAAAGTATTATAATAGTGTATAAATAAATACTTGTATTGTAGTAAAAAAACATTACTCTGATACCAAACAAAAACCTAAATTGTACTTATAATAGTGTATAATGCACATACAAGCCTAACTTAAAACTGACCTCCACCTAGAATTGCTCAGGCAAATGTTGCTTAACAAAATCATATGACTATAGAATCATATTGTTCTATAGCAAAGTAATGTGATAACCATGTTAATTCTAAAGTCCCTGAAAAAAAAAGGGGGGGGGGGGGATACACA